CACTCACGTTGAAGCGACGTTGAATCCCCTTTTGCTGCCCAGGCGCTCGCGGCTGCCGACGCGTCGCTCCTCACGTACGAGGTCTCGGGCGCGTCCGAGCGGGGCCTTTTAGCGAAAGCCTTCCGCGCCTTCGACGCGGCGGCGCGCGCGGACCTGGGCATCGCCGAGTTCTCCGTGGCCCAGGCGTCCATGGAGAAGGTCTTCATTCGCATCGTCGCGAAGACGGCGGCGGACGAGGAGCGCCGCTTGTCCGTGCTCGACCAGAACGCGCTGGGCCGCGACGTCGCGTCCATGCTCCAGGAGGAGGACGAGGAGGACGAGCTCGAGGCCGAGCTCAAGGCCATGACCTTCCGGGAGCGCACGTGCTGCTGCTTCACGCGCTTCGCGCACAAGATGATGGCCAAGTACCACTGCGGCATGTGCTGCACGTGCTGCTGCGTCTTCAGCTGGTCCATCCTCCAGTGCCCCTGCTGCATCTTCTTCCACTGGACCGCCTGCTGGGTCTGCCTCCTCCACTTCCTCACGATCTTCTGCAACGCGTGCGGCGCGTGCTGCCTCCCCGCGCCCAAGGCCGAGGACTAGGGGCGTTAGAGGCCGCTGAGGGCACCGTAGAAGCCCATGATCGTGTCGGAGAAGACGGCGGCGTCGTTCATCTGCTGGAGGAAGCGCGCCCGGACGCCCGCGAAGCGCGCGTCGCCCCCGAGCGCGGCCTCGAGGCCGTCCCACGTCGCCGCCATGCCCCGGAGCTCGTCGAGCGCGCCCGCGTGGCGGTCGCGGATGCGGTCGAAGAGGCGCACGGTCGCGTTGCCGTAGTACGCGGGCACGGGGTCCGTCCACTTCTTGTTGTGGAAGAACAGGAGCTGCTCCTCGGGGACGCGCGCGGGGTCGTCGAGGATCTCCCGGAGCGCGGGCGCGTAGGTGTCGATCATGCGGCTGCCGACGCCGCGCGACGTGCGGTCGCAGCCGAGGCCCGTCTTCGAATAATTGGAGAAATCGTAGTCGTCACAGGGGTTCATCCAGTAGTGGTTCCCGTGGTCGATCACCGGCGGGCACGCCGCGCCGCCGGGGCCCTCGCCGCCGCCGCGCGTGTAGTTCGTCTTCGGCGCGCAGCCGTAGGGGTTGTCCTGGCCGACGATGAAGCCGATGCCCATGGGGCTCGTGTAGCCCTCGTAGACCTGCCACGACCGGCCCAAAATGTCCGCGACGGCGTCGACGGCCGCCGCGCTGCCCGCCGGGAACGTCATCGCCGCCCACTCGCGGTCCACGGTCGCCGCGGGCACCGTGGGGTCCCAGGCCATGCGGCCGCAGGCGTAGGTGTTCGCCGCCGCGAGGACATGGGCCGTGTAGTTGGCGAAGTTGCCCAGGTTCGACACGCACGCGAGGCCGCCGCCCCACTTCGACCTGCCGCCGCGCGCCTCGGACGTGAGCAGCTCCGCGATGGTCAGCGACGGGGACGCCCACTTCGTGTCCCAGGCGAAGTAGTACTCCCACTGCTGCGCGAAGTTGCACACGTGGATCTGGTGGCCCGTGTAGCCCTGGTTCGACGACACCTCCATCATGACGTTGGACTCGGGCATGCCCCCGAGCAGCGGGTGGAGCGGCTCGCGGACCTGGAAGTCCATGGGGCCGCTCTTGATCTGCAAAATGACGTTGTCGTCGAAGGACCCGTCCAAAGGCTTGAACGTGTCAAAGGCCTGGCGCGCCAGGTCCTCCTGGCCGATCGGATTCGACGGGTCGGCGCCGAGGCCGTTGCCGTAGATGAACGAGCGCCACAGCACCCGGCCCCCGCGAACCTTCAACACCCGCGCGAGCATGTTCGCGCCGTCGGCTTCCGTGCGGTTGTAGCTCATGGGGCCGACATCGCCTTCGGAGTCGGCCTTGACGACGACGCCGCCGAAGTTCGGGTAGTGGTCGTAGATCTCGCCGAACTTCGCCGTCCACCACTCGATCGCGTCGGCGCTCAGCGGATCGGACGTCACGTTCGAGAGCTCCGTGGGCGCGCCGAAGCACACGGCGAGCATGGGCGTCAGCGCGTACCGATCGAAGAGGGGCCCCAGGTTCTTCGTCCAGTTCGCGACGGCCGTGAGCGACCGCGTCTGCGGGTCGCCGCACGCGTTGACGTCGTTGAGGACCACCGTGTTGACGCCCGACGACTTCAGGAGCCGCAGCATGTCGGCGACGCGCTCCTTGTACTTGCCATGCACCCAGGGATCGTCGTCGTTGGCGACGGCGTCGGGCAGCGGCGCGGACCGCATGAGCGCGAGGCAGGTCTCGCGGCCGTCCGCGTAGACGGGATGGATCGCCCGCGTCGCCGGGTCGTAGGAGAACTTCTGGTTCGCGGCGTCGTTGCTCTCCGGGCCGTGGCAGGGCCAGAGGTCGATGTCCGGCCCGAGGCCGCCGTTGAGGTCGAAGCAGACGCCGCGCTTCGGGCAGCGGTTCTGGCCCGCGGAGTATTTGCCGGCGACGGAGATGGTGCGATTCGTGCCGTTGTAGACGAAGAAGGCGCTCGTCTCCTCGCTGTCGCAGGCGCTCGCGCTCACGGGGTCGCAGGCCATCGTGTCGATGCAGAGGTCCGCGCCGACGTTGCGGATGGACGAGGGTTCGCCGGACGAGAACGTCGCGCCCTCCCACCGCTGGAGCGGGTCCGACGCGTTGCACGCCGTCGCCACGTAGAGCTGGGCCGGGTGCGGCGGCTTGTCGTCGTCGTACAAAGCGTAGGGCCAGACCAGCGAGTTGCCCGCGTTGCCGCGCTCGACGACGCCGGAGAGCGTGTCCCAGAGATTCCACGCGCGGAGCTCCATCGCGGGCGCCGAGGCGTCGCGCTCGGGCAGCGGCAGGCGCCGCTGGACGTAGCTCAGCAGCTTGAAGGCGCCGTACCAGGCGCCCGACGCCGTGGCGGCCTCGACGCGCGCGCGTTCGACGGCGTAGCCCTCGCGCGCGAACTTTGCACCGGCGTCGACGGCGACGGTCGAGGCGCCGCCGTTTTCGAGCGCGGCGGCGTCGACGGCGACGGTCAAGGCGCCGTCGTCTTCGGCGACGTCGCCGGCGCAGCAGCAGGCGCTCGGCACGTCGCGCCCGAGGAGCCCGGAGAGCGCCGTCGAGAGCTCGTCGGCGATGCCCTGGAGTGCGACCTTGTCTTCCTGGCAGGTCGCGGCGTCGGCTCGCACGGCCACGCTGCGGATGGTGGAATAGAGCGAGGCGTTCGGCACCGGCTCGTAGCGCAGCCACAGCGGGTCCGGAGCGTCCGCGGTTTGCGGTTTCGCAGCGGCGGCCGCAGCCGCAGCCGCCAGTGCAAGCATGAGTCGGGCTGCCAACACCATTCTGAATCCCGCGATAAGAGGGGCAACCAAGGGTCAATGTGTGCTTCAATTACCACAAGTCTCGCAAAAAAGCGCCATCAATGTGGGCCGCGCTGGCGCTGGTCGCCGTCGCCGCGGCGGCCAAGGAGCCCGCGAAATACTGGGACGAGACGGCGCACCGCACCGTGGACCACTCGCACCGCGACAGCGAGCACGAGCACTACGCCCAGCAGCGGTCGCGCGTCGAGCGGGCCGTCGGCGCCTACCGCTTCTACGTCTACGGCGGCGGCGCCTTCGACGCGATGACGACGGACCTCCTCCGAGGGCGGGAGCACAAGGTCGACGACCTCTACGTGCTCGCCGAGGACAAGGTCGAGCTGTGGACGCACCGCGCGCTGCTCAACGACTCGCGGCGCACGGACGACCCCGCGGACGCGGACGTCTTCTTCGTGCCGGCCTACCTGACGCTGTCGACGCTCGTCTCCGCGCACAACCACGCCCGGCGCCTCGCCGCCATGCTCGAGGCGCTCGCGGGCGCGTACTACTTCCGGCGCCGCGGCGGCGCGGACCACGTCTTCGGCTACTCGGGGACGAACCCCGGCACGGCGAAGCGCGTGGGCTTCCCGGACGTGCAGAAGGTGCTCCACCGCGCCTGGTTCGGCACCTTCGAGATGAACCCGGCCTGGGTCGGCGCGGACCGGCCGACGCCGCGCGAGCTCGCGACGTCGAATTCGACCGTCCTGGACCGCATGGTGCCCATGCCCTACGTCGTCGACGCGTCCAAGCTCGCGGGCCCGGCGGAGCAGCGCGACACGAACGTGCACCAGCACGAGATCTCCGTCTTCTTCGCCGCCAACGGGCGGCCCCAGGCGACGAAGTGGTCCGGCTGCAACCGGTCGACGGCGCTCGGGCTCAAGGCGCTGCCCAAGGCGGCGATCCACGTCTCCGCGGGCCGCGCGCGCCGGCGGCGGCTCGCGCGGCGCCTCGTCGACGGCCTGCGGCGCGCGTCGGACCGCCTCTTCGGCCGGCGCCTCGCGGACGCGCACAAGGTGCTCGTGGAATCCAAGTTCGCGCACGCGATGCGCGTCTCCGACTTCTGCCTCGTCATGTGCGGCGACACGCCGACGTCGCGCCGCATCTTCGACTCCATCGTCGCCGACTGCGTGCCCCTGATCGTCGGCACGCGGCTCTGGGG